TGTAAGGGAATAGGAAGCATTTTAACAAGGGAGGGGGTAGCATGTTTTGAAGATGTACCCCCTCCCTGTAATTTGGGTGTTGTGGCTGTCCTGGGAGATGCAATGAAAGCCATGTGATTAATTTTTAGCCTGGATCTAAATGGATACAACCTGATTTATCTTCCTTAAACACTAGATATATGAGGGTTTTCTGCCCTTCTTGGCCCTAGCATTCCCTCAAGAACTTTGCAAGTACACATAAGCAAGGATAGCCAGTGAGATTAGCATGAAGATACCATGGGAAAGCTCTGGAGTTACTGCAGCCCATCTGCCAGGAGTTATGTCCTGTCATTTGTTGCAGACTTGAGGAAGAGGAGGTTGGAATTAGCCTTTGATTCTTACTGGGATTTTGCTGGTTTTGCTCTGAAATTGTTCCTTGAGTGTTATCCTAGAAAAGTCTCTATTCACTGGTTGTGTTCCAGGCTCGTAATGAAAACCAATAAATAAGAAACTATGCAGTCTCTTATCTCCTTTCTCGAAAGCTCATGGGATGTAGCTGGCAGCCATGCAAGAGCCTAAACATAACAGTCAAAAGCAACGTGGCAGGAACGATGCCGTATGTTGGTGTAGCACATGCTTCTATACTCGCTGCAGTTGGAACTCTCACAGGGTATTTGTCCTCTTTTGTCAGCGTAGAGCATTGCAGGATTACCTCACTGAGTTGAAGGAGTTGGCTTGGTACAAAATTACTGGATTCACATGAACTGCATACCAGCTGAAATCTGGTATGAATGTTGTGCTGAAGCAGTCTGAGCTGTAGAAATACACATGAAAAGCTGAAGTAGCCTGGAATGTCATTGCTGTATGAAAGGAGAAGGCATTCCAGGACTGTTTGTTTAGGTTGGATGGGTGCTTTGACACTGAGCAATCTTGGGAACTTCGCAAGGTTCTGATAATAATTTTCATTTTACATCAAAGCAGATGAAACAATCAAAGAGAGGAAGCTTAAGCTTAGGCAAAGTTATTCTAATGAAGTGTTTTGAAGACGGGGAGGAAAACCCTGAGCTTGCATGCTTTTAATTCAAGTTTGTGCAATTTCATTTGGGGAATCAACAAAAATATGAGAGTTGTAAGCTCATGTGAATTTTCTGTCAGATAGGTATGTATTTGGGGACCTTATGTGAAGAACTTTAGGCTGATTTTTCTAATTATATATGGTGTGTCCTGGATAGTTTTGTGACCTGTGTGCGTAAACTGGTGAGTTAGGGTGAGAATAAGACAGTAAACGTATTCAAATAAAGGCCCTTTCTGTCTTGAATTTGCAAGGTAACAAAGCTCATGAGTGACTGTATTTAGTAATATCTGACTTTCTGTTGCAAATTATCGCACCTAAAATGTATTCTGAAGCAACTGCTATTTCAGCTTTTGGGGTAAGGAGCAGTCTAGCAAGAAAAACCGCTTAAATCCTCCGCCCAGCGCTGTCACAACCAGCGTGCTTTGAACAATAGGCAGAGACAAGCAGAGTTAGAAATCTGTTCTAAAATGCCAGAACTGCCTGATTTTGAAGTGACCTCTTCTTGATGTGGAAAGTCCCAGAAGCTTGCTGTCTCATCCAAAATACAAATCTTGCCAGGAGTCCTAAATAGGTAACAGTGCGTGACGGATGGTTTGATAACGAGCATTCATCTGGCTTCTCCTTGTTTTTCCCTTCACAGTTGTCTGGTGGGTGCGAGCTGACGGTGGTAATCCACGACTTCACCGCCTGCAATAGTAATGAGCTGACAATCCGTCGTGGGCAGACAGTGGAGGTCCTGGAGAGGCCCCATGACAAGCCTGACTGGTGTCTGGTCCGAACGACAGATCGGTCCCCAGCTGCAGAAGGCCTGGTCCCCTGCGGGTCCCTCTGCATTGCTCACTCTCGCAGTAGTATGGAGATGGAGGGGATTTTTAACCACAAAGGTAAGCAATGATGGAAACAAAGTCTGGTCACCAGCAGTGTAACGTTTGGCTAATGGGAAGTACTGTGCAAATGGGAACTTTGGTGTTCTTGCACCGTCTTGATTTCAGCAACCACACTGTCTATTCCAAAAATAAGCAGTTGGCAGTTCTCAGCATTTAGTGAAAATGTGGCTGAAGATAGGGAAGAGATTTAAGCAAATTATGCATTGGTGAACAGCGTTACATATCATATTTGATCAAGCTGTGATGATAGGAAAATCTATACCTGACATGTGCTGGAAGGGGGGAGGGAAGAAAATCCCCAGCATGCATTATCAATGATTCCTGAGAAATCCTGCAGTGGGAAGTCATGGCATCAGGCTCAGCGATCAAAAAGGTAAATCCACTCATCAGTGTGCCCTGGCACAGGAATTGGCCACCGGGACTTCTGTATTTTACTTAACTAAGTTTTGTGGAGTAGCAGTGGCACACTCATCCCTTTTTCCCAGAGTAGCTCTGAAATCTTACATTGTTTTTTTCAGATGCATGACAGAATATTCCCTGGAAGGGTGTAAGAAAAATCCAATGATTTTTTTTTGGAAGTTTTTAAGATTCTAGTGTGCTGTAGTCCTTTGGCTCTGTAAACTCCCCAGGCTGACAGAGTAGATTGTTACTAGAGAAGATGCTTGCTTGCTTCATTTGCAGCTGCTTGAGTTTGCAGCCTGTGAACAGGAAAAAAATGTGAATTTAAAAAACAACAGCAACAAAAATCCACCAGAAAAACAGTTCATTAGAAGGCATTTCATCACATGCTGTGGGAAAAGATGTATTGCAAAAAGTTTGTTATTGCAAGTAACAAGATTAGCAGACAAGTGGTGTTGGAGAAAATTTGTTTCCAAAACACAAAATTCTGGGTTTGGAGAGTTTTTCATAAATATAAGCACAAACATCTAAATTATTCAGTCCATTCCAGCCATTACAATTTTCCCAGGTCTTTTTCAGATCCTCTATAAATATGCTTGGCTAAAACAGGACTGAGTTTGTGTTTCTTACATTAGGAGTATGCACAGCAGGAACTTCCTGAATGCAGGGTGATTGGGAGTGGGGGAGGAGAGTGAAAGATTGAGCTGTACAGTTGTAATACATTTTTGTCCTCTTGTGGCCTATAACAATTTGGATAGGAAAAGCCTGAAGATGTCGTGATAATAAAATTGGAAAATATAGTTAGGTATCACTAAAACATTTCTTCCTTTGACTAGGGGTGAAGTCATGGAAATGTCAACAGGATTTTTTTTCTTTTAGCAGCACTCGCAGAATTGATAAATCCAATTTCCTTTGGAGCTAAGGGACTTCACCTTTGAATGCAGAGAATTTTATTAGGAGAGGCAGGTTGTACTGGGCAATATATGTTATATGAAGCACATTGAGCCTGTCAGACTCCTGAGGGACAGACAGAGCTGGTTTTGTCTTTGAGAGGTTGCTTTTATTAATCAAACCAGTGGACATAACCTGTATTGCTTTTATTTCTTTAACATTTGTTAGGGGAAAATGGGGCAGAGTATTTTGAAGATACTTTAGTTTGTTTGACATGGTGCTTTGAAATAAAGAGCGTTAATTAATTGTATTAATCACGGACACTGAAGAAGAAGAGAAAGCTATTGCTAGAGTGAGCATGATTTGCAGGGTTGAATGCAGCCTCAGAAGTGCCTTCTGTCCCTGCCACAGGCTTCCTGCGGGATGTTCTGGCATGCCATTTAAACCCCAGCTGATAAGAAGCAGCTGCTCATTGTTTATTCCCACATTACTGGGTGTCAAGCTTTAGGAGATGGATGTTTAATTTGTCAAGTTTCCCGTGCATGTGACTGAAGAACATGCGAACTATTATATAACGTTAAGTAATCTGGGGAGGGGGAAAAAAAGAGGGTAGACAAGGTACTTGAAACCGTGGGATATATTTCACTTTGATCTCTACCTCAGCTTTCTATTGCTTGAAAGAGCAATAGATAGTGCTCATTTCACTGAGGGATTACAAAAATTAAGCAAAACTAGTGGAGTGCTTTGATTTTATTTCCTCTCCCATTGTGAAAAGTACCTCAGACAATCCCACAAACCAATTATTCTTCCTCAAGTGCTGCATTTGATTAAAGATCTTTTAATAAAGCATTGGGGAATATGCTAATCAGAAGAATGGAAAAACAATGAGATGATATTCTCAGAATTGTTCATTGTAAGCATTGATAGAGATATGAATTCCTAAGAAAAACCAACCAAACAAAAAGTCCTGTAACAGAGAACAAGTGAATGACTTAGATAATTTGAGGCAGTTCATGATCTTGGGTGGATAACTTTTAATGTCTTTCCTAGATTTCTAATACTTGATTTTGTAGCTTCAGTCTATTTAATACAGATATTTTTCCCCCTTTCTGGCCATAATTCAGTAAAATTTTCAGAGTTTTTGAGGGTTTCAACGAAGTAAGATATTGCCCTCTGGAATTTTTAGGTCTGAAAATAAGTGTCATATGTGAGGCTCAAAGTGTGGCATCAGGTTGGAATAATTCTGTACAGTTTATGGGCTAAGCCACATGCAGTAGACATGAGTCTGGATTTTTTTTTTGCATGTCTGGCATCACAAGCTGTTGTGAGACACTTAGGGTTTTGAGGGTTTCAACGAAGTAAGATATTGCCCTCTGGAATTTTTAGGTCTGAAAATAAGTGTCATATGTGAGGCTCAAAGTGTGGCATCAGGTTGGAATAATTCTGTACAGTTTATGGGCTAAGCCACATGCAGTAGACATGAGTCTGGATTTTTTTTTTGCATGTCTGGCATCACAAGCTGTTGTGAGACACTTAGGGAAGATCGTA